GGGACATGGGGGGGACATAGGGGGGGCACAGGGACCAGGGCCATGGGGACACAGAGGAGGCCTGAGGAGCCATGGGGGGAACATGGGAAGCAGGGCCATGGGGACAGGAGGGAGACCAGGAGCACCATGGGGAGATTGGGGACATGGGGGTGACACAGGGACCAGAGCCATGGGGGGAGCACAGGGAACACAGAAGGAAATAGGGGACACACAAGGACCAGGGTCATGGGGACATGGGGGGGCCCTGGGGGGACATAGGGACCGAGCCATGGGGACAATGAGGACATATGGAGGGGAATACAGGGACAGGGGCCACGGGGACACACGGGGGACATGAGGGGATTGGAGTTGTGGGGACACAGGCATTGGGGCCGTGGGGGGACATGGGTGACACAGGGAGGGGGGACATAGGGCAGGGGCTGTGGGGACACAAGGGGATGGGGCGGTGGCAGGGGGACAATGCACAGACAATGGGGTCATGGGAGGACATGGGGACATAGGGGAACACACAGGGACATACAGGGGACACAAGGGGATAGGGGCTATGGGGACACACTGGGGACACAGGGAGGGGGAACACAGGGATTGGGGCTGTGGTGACACATGTGGGACACGGAAGGGGACAATGGGGCTGTGGGGACACACAAGGCATGGGACATGGCGGACACTGGGGGACAATGAGGACATGGGGACTGTGCACGTGTGGGGAGGGGACACGGGACAGGGCCCAGGGACCCCCAAAGTGAGACCAAAATGGGCGGGGCCTGACAAAGGTGGGTGTGGCTTTCTTGGCTGCAAGGGGTGGAGCAACAGTGGGTGGGGCAGGGGTGGGGCTCCATCATCCCCTCCCCCATCAGGGTGGGGCAGATCCGGGGGGGGGCTCCCACCACCCCTCAGGGCGTGGCACTGGGTGTGGCACTGGGAGGGGCTCCAGGCGGGGCTCACCGTGGGCTGCACGAGGTAGGACTGGTGCATCCAGGTGGGGCCGTGGACCTGTGGGTGGCACCAGGTAGGAGCAGGTGAGCAACCCACCCCTTTTCCAGGTGGGGACCTCCCTCCCAGGACCCCCCAAACCCCCCATACCTGGTAGGAGGACACTGGGGAGGGCAGGTAGGGGGCCAGGGCGGCGGGGGGGAGCATCCGGCCGGGAGCCAGCCCGTAGGGCGCCGGGTAGAACCTGCGGGGCGGGGGGTCAGGGCTGCGGGGGCCACGGCCGGCAGCCCCCACCCCACCGGGGCTGGGGGGGCCCTGGGGCACCCACCCGTTCTGCAGCGCCGTCGCGGGGTCGTAGGCCAAGGTCACGGTGCCCTGGGGAAGGGGAAAAGGTCAGTGATGTTCGGCAGCCCCCCCAGCACCCCCAAAACCCCCCAAATCCTCATCCCTCCCCCTCACCGTGTCGCCGTCCCGGGCCCAGGCTCTGCCGTTGGACACGAACTTGCCCTGGCTCTGCCGCTTCTTCTGCCCCCCATCAGCAAACTTGCAGAGCAGGGGGTCTGGGGGGGCTGAGGGGGGGTGTCAGTGCTGCCAGCCAGCCCCCAGCACCCCCAGAATCCTCTCCCGGGACCCCCCCTCCAGCCCACCTGGAACCCCCGGGGGGGTTTTGATGAATTTCCCGTTGAAGTGGGTGATGACAGCCTCGCACTTCTCCGTGGATTCCATCCTGGGAGGAGCGGGGCTGGGCCGGGGGCCACTGGCGGGGCCCCCCCAGCTCTGTGTGCCCCCCCCCCAGCCCCGTGCAGCCCCCCACATGCGTGTGGCCCCCCAGTATCCTTCACCTTTTCAGGTTCCCTCATCCCTATGTGCCCCCTCCAGCCCCATGCAGCCCCCCAAGTCCACACCCCTCCAGCGTTCCCCATCCTCCCAAGCCCCCTCCCAGCCCCGTGTAGCCCCCACATTTCCATGGCCCCTGCAGCCCCCCTCATTCTCCTGGGCCCCCCAGCCCCCCCAGATTTGTGCATCTCCCATCCTGCCAGGCCCCCCCCAAGCTCCACATGTCCCCTCAACCCTTCCCATCCTCCTGAGTCCCCCAACCCCATGTACCCCCATTCCCTGCAGCCCCCCCAGTTCTGTGCATCTCCCATCCTCCCAGGGCCCCCCCAGCCCCATGGGCCCCCCACCCCTTCCCACCTCCTGAGCCCCCCAGCCCCATGTACCCCCATCCCTTGCAGCCCCCCCAAAGTCCCTGTCCCCCCAGCCCTTCCCATCCTCCTGAGCCCTCCCAGTTCTATGCACCCCCATCCTCTCCAGCCCCCCAAGTCTCTATCCCCCCAGCCCTCCCCATCCTCCTGAGCCCCCCCAGCCCCATGTACCCCCATCCCCTGCAGCCCCCCCAGTTCTGTACAGCCCCCCAAGTCTCTATCCCCCCAGCCCTCCCCATCCTCCTGAGCCCCCCCAGCCCCATGTACCCCCATCCCCTGCATCCCCCTCAGCACCACCAACCCTCCCGGGCCCTGCCAGGCCCCCCCCATACCGTGCAAAGCCCACCCCCCGGCTGGCCCCGTGGGGGTCCCGCAGGATGCGGGTGGAGACCACCTGCCCAAAGGGCTTCAGCAGCGCCTCCAGCTCCTGCTCGTCCACGCCCAGCGGCAGGTTCGAGATGTACAGGTTGGTGGGGTCCTGCTCCTGTTGCTGTGGGGAGGGGTCAGGAGGCTGCCTGGGCCCGTGGGGGGGTCCCAGGGAGCTCTGGGGGTCGGGGGGTTCCATACCTTGGCCATCTGTGCCTGCACGCCGCTGGCCTTCAGCGCTGTCACGGCCTTTTGGGCGGCTGTGGGGCTGTCAAAGTCCACGAAGCCATAGCCTGCGGAGGGGTGAGAGGTCAGAGAGACCCTCCAGAGCCCCCCCGGACCCCCCCTCCAGCCCTGCTGCCCCCCAACCTTTGCATTTGTTGGTTGTCTTGTCCAGGATGGCTTTGGTGGAGACAATCTTCCCATAACTAGGGGGGAAAAGAGGGAGTCAGAACTCAGTGGGACCCCCAACCCCCCCTGAGGGGCTCTGGGGAGGGGGGGACAGCAGGACCCCAGCCCCACTCACGGCTGGCAGAGCTTGACCAGGTCCTGGTCTGTGGTGCCAGGGTGCAGCCCCCGGATGTAGAGGTTGGTCTTGCTGAGCTGGTCCGGGGCCCCCCCGGCAGGGCTGGGGCTGGGGGGGCCCAGGGGCTGTGCCGGGGGCACATAGGGCTGCTGGGGGAGGGGGGGGGTGGGAGGGGGTCAGTACCCTCCACAGCCCCCCAAAATCCACCCACCAAAGGAGACAGCGTGGATGTGGTGAGGGGCCAGAGCCCCCCCCCCCGCTCTCAGTGGGGTTCTGCCCATCCCGGGGGTCTTCGGGAAGCACCCCCGGGACCCCCCCGCTGCTCCCGGGGACCCGTGGCAGCGGCAGCTGGAAATCTCCAGGCTGATGTCAACGAGCAACCATGAATCACCCGCGGCCGCCCCCGCACCCCGGGGTCTTCGGGAAGCACCCCCGGGACCCCCCCGCTGCTCCCGGGGACCCGAGGCAGCGGCAGCTGGAAATCTCCAGGCTGATGTCAACGAGCAAACATGAATCACCCGCGGCCGCCCCCGCACCCCGGGCCCCCCCAAACCCCCTCATCCCCCCGGGAATGCCGTCACCTCCCGCGGGAACCCTGGATCCCATCGTATCCCCCCGACCCCATTATTTCATCCCTGGACCCCATCTCTCCCCCCGGGGTCCCCATCATCCCTCCCAACCCCCCCCGCCCCCCGGGGGTCCCCATCTCTCTTCCTGAAGGGTCCCCACCCTCCTCCCTCCCCCGGGACCCCCGGACCCCGCCCCTCTCCCCCGAGGGTCCCCATCCTCCTCTCCACCGGCGTTCCCATCCCCCCATTCGGGGGGGTCCAAATGTTCCCCACCCCCAACCGGCACCCCTGCACCCCATCACCCCCCCCGTCATCCCCCCGTCCCGGGGTCCCCGTCACCCCCACAGGGGTGTCCCTGTCGCGTGTCCCCCACCCCAAGTGCCACCCCATGTCCCCACATTCCCCCCCAGCTCCCCGTATCCCCCCCAAATCCCGCCCCTGCTGCAGCTCGGGGTGTCCCCCCGGGTGGGAGATGGGGATGGGGGTGACCCCCCCTCCTTCACCCCCCCCTCCCCCAGCACTATTGACGGGGGGGGACAGGGGGGAAACTGAGGCACGGACGGGGGGAGGGGGGGACACACGGGGACCCCCCCGAGCCGCGCCGGGAGGAGCGGAGAGCGGCGATCACCGCAGCTCCGAGCGCTGCCGCTCGCAGGGGTGTCCCCGCTCGGTCCCCGAGGGGGGGG